CATTCAGAATCGAATACAGACTTCGAGTCTTGATCTCCATGGTATAAAGATGAATAGCGGCTGATTCATCAGAAGTAAGGCCATTGGCAGGATTCTTGGATGCATTCTTAGCAATCCAAACATCACGTGGTAAATTACGAAATAGCGATTGAATGGGTTCACAAGCTACTTCGAGAGAAACCAGTATTGATTCTTGATAGTCTTCCAGAGGTTGTAAACTGGCTTCAGGTTCATCGCAAGTGTTCTCAATTAAACGGGGATTCCAATCACTGAGAGTTTGTGAGAAGGCCATGATAAAAATATACAATTAATCTAGAAAGAATAAGAAAATTTTACTTCAGATGTTACGTAAGAGGTGACTATCATAACTATTGAAAAAGATTTCAGTCTCACCTGTTGGGCAGGAGTGAGGTTATAAGAGAAGGGTGTGTGGGGTGTGGGTGTACGAATCTTATTTTCACAGCCACAGCCACACCCTCAGGAATTACTCGATAGCACACGTCGTCAATTTGTCATAGTAAAGAGAATAAGTGGTAATGGAGCTTCTAAAAGTTCACTAAAACGTCCAATTAAGGATGCAATCTACTCTGGGTTTCTCTATAAATTAAAGTAGAAGAATAATATTCACAGCTGTTCGAATTAAAAGTAATGGCACAATATAGTGTCTGTGGTTTTCACCAATACTATGTGGTCATGAAAATCAGATTGATTACCAGTATTTCAAACAGCTTTTTGCAACAGAGAAAAAGTGACGGTTGAAAGCAGACTTAAAATACCGAATAAAACATCTGATTCCTTGTTCCCAAAAACTGACTACAACTCGGGTGTAGCTAATCACGATTCGACCCGTATTTTGCAAACGCCTTTTCTATGTATAGCCACTGATCATTCAATCAAATTCACATTATATATTTATCTAGAAGGGTTAAATATTATTAACAAATCTTCAGTTATCATGATAGATACTCACTGTGGAAGACTTCTTAAAATTTTAATTACTTGGGACTAATTCAAAGACATCCTTGCATTAAACTACTAAAGGGATTCAAATAACTAGAAGATTAGGTTTAGCTTTCACGGTTGTTTAAAACAGTTTGAATACACCGATACCTGCATTTAATCAGGACCAAGTCATCGCAATAGAGCGAGAGAATCACCAGTTCCGAGCCACACAACCTACTTCTAAAATCAAAGCAAACTTTTTCAAAGTTTCTATCGAATCATCTTCATCAAAGCAAAAAAGGAAAATAGACTGCTTAAACAAGTAATTTTTAACGCGGCGTGTCACCCGCATAGATACTTCGTCGACCATAACACGTTATCAGGGCACCTTTATGGTATTTATATGCAACTATCACGATGACCAATGGGAAATGGAGACACAGAAAACCAATCCTATCTAGTCCGAACTTTACCCTCAGAAGTCCTTCTGTTTAAACACGCCTCTACTATCAAGGATCGGCCAGTATGCTCTTCGCCAAGACTCTCATTGTCATAACGAATACAGAACCCATGTCGTCCTTTTTTTTTCTAGTAACGCCGCTATAACGCGAAAACGGGTGATTGTGGTGATATTCTGCACTATAGCGACAATAATGATCGTAATTTGTTGAAACGTTCTTCGTATTGGAATAACGCGTATAATTGGCGCTGTTTGCGTACTATATAAATTCTCTGAAATTTGTTTTTCGAAACCTAAACTCGTATTACTCATACAGAAAGCGAGATAACCGGTCAAAAGATTCCACAATTCATTATATTTCCATTTTAAATTAATAAATATATTTAAGATAGATTCGATTTACTATTGCAAACGTGTACTTTTGATTATTTTGATTTTAGATCAAATGTATAAATTTTCACGTAAAGTAAATAAGAAGCGCCTTCATCGAGAGATTAAGCGTCGGTCCGTTCGTCAATGTATTGCTCGACATCGTAGCCTTTCGAATGAAAACTCTGATGATAATTGCAATGGTGGTAACCAACAACAACAAAATATTTATATTAACAAAATTGATTCATCATATGACGAGAAAAATAGTGATAATTATACATTACCTGTGCCATCAAATGTTTATGTTGAGAATGATAATGAACGAAGTGATGATGTAGATGATGATCAATGGAATGATGATGAAAATGATCATGAATATGAAGATGATTCACGATTACTGTATGACGGTTCTAAAATTACCGTTAGTAATACTATTCGTCTCATTAGCAAGTTTTACTTGAATATAAACTTAGATAAACAAAACATCAACAGTCTTCTTCGTCTTATCGAATCATTATTACCAAAACCCAATCTTTTACCTTGTACTTGGAAAACTATGAATAAAAAGCTCCGGAATTTTTCACCTAGTTTGACAACTTATCTTTGTACTAATTGTTATGAAACATGTGATATTAATAGTAACAATGCCAAATTTTGTGTTAATTCAAATTGCAAAACTTCTTTCAAACAACGTCGAAGTAATGAATTGATTGAGATCGTTCGATTTGATATCCGTAGTCAGATACAATCAATTATGAGTCGGAATTTTGATTTTTTAAACAAACCTTATCTTTTTCCAACGAGTGATATTTTTTTTGCTCAATGGTATCGACAACGATCGAATGTAAATATCAATAAGATTACACTATTGGTTCATACCGACGGTGCACCACTTGTTCGCTCCTCAAAACAATCAATATGGCCATGTTTTGCATCTATCACCGAGCTTCCCCCACCAATAAGAGAGTTTCAATCAAACATCATTATTCTGGCTTTATGGGCATCGACGATTAAACCGAATGTTAATTTATTCTTAGATCAGACAATAGATGATCTATTGTTTCTAATTAAAAATGGAACATCGATACTTATTAATGACCAGGAATATCACATTGAAGTCGGTACTCAACTATTTCTTTCTGATCTACCAGCCAAATCACTCTTTTGCTGCACAGCAAGTTTTAATGGATATTCAGCATGTAGTTTTTGTTACAGTAGAGGTAAAATGCTGATCTTTATACAATTCAAACGAAATATTTTACTTTCTATCTTAGAATAAAGTACTGAGATGACATTATTTTAATCAAAAATATTCTTTTTCAAATCCTAATATTCATCAAATTACTCAATAAAAATCATAGTTTTCCTTCATATCAAATAGCATATAATGCATAGCTGAACTTTTTTATTCTCGAAACTTTTGAAAATAACAGTTTTGCATCATATTTTTATCGAAAATAGAGCAGAATTTTTAGGAATGATTATACTGGTTTATTTAAACTTCACTATTGAAAAAATTGATTCTAAGAAACTTATAATTTAGTTGCTTACTTCTTCATTTAATTGCTAGTTGTTACAATGTTATTCTAGGTGTATGGAATCCAAAATACAACAAAGTCGTTTATCCTTATTCAAAAAACGACTATACAGCTCGCACTCATGAAGATTATTTAAAATCTGCTCGAGAAGCTGTTAAAAAATCAAAAGGGCGTAAACAAGTAGCAACTGATGGAATAAAAGGTCTATCATGTTTATTTAAAATATCTAACTATCCATGCCAGATCATATTTGACTATATGCATTTGGTATGTTTATGCCACATACCATCTCTGATACATAGATGGTGTCAACGTATTAGCAAGTCATCAATACAGGACGTAGACCAAAGCCTTAAGCAATTACGCACTCCACACAATATAAAAGTGGTATTTTTAGAATCAATTCAATCAGTCAATTTATGGAAAGCAAAAAATTCACGTTTATTTGTATTATATGCTGGAGTCCCAATAATGACTAATCGATTACCAACACTACTTTTTTCTCACTTTATAATATATTCGTTGGCAATTAAACTCTTACATACACCTCAATCTGAACAAGATATATTACTTGGTAAACGTCTTCTGCACTATTACTGTCGAACAATAGCTAATATATACGATTCATCTATGGAGATTTTCTCGTTACATGCTCATATTCATCTTGGACATCAAGTTCGTCTTCATGGAGGTTTAGCCCATACATCAGCATTTGCATTTGAATCAGCAATACGTTATATTAAAAAAACGTGCTCATGGTAGTATTAATATTGCTAGTCAAATTGCATATTGGAACAATCTTCGTTGTACAACACAATTGAAAAAATTTAATTTAGCAGAAACTTCTCTTATCGATGTAAGTGAAGAAAGTAAAAAACATTGGTGATGTGTGAAATTTATATTTATAAATCATTGCTTCTCCCGTCGAAAAGAAGAAGAAAAATATGTTACGAATGAATAAGAATGACGAATAACTATTCTCTCTCTCTCTCTCGCTCTCGCTTATATTGACTGATACTAAAAATTCTTCTCTTTATATGGCAGAATAGACGGCGGATACAGCAATGATAATTGTTTTGCGGTCATTTTTCTTTTTGTTTGTTAAGTAACCGGCATGCTGTTTTCGATGTATTTTCATTTCTCTTTTCTTATAGAAGATAAATCTCGATGATCCTGCATTCGTACAATATCTTCCTATATTACATAAATTAATCAAACCTGGAAATACAAACAAGATTACATGTTTGTACAAACGTTACAAATCTACATTCACTATATATCATTCATTCATTTATGACCGCCTGTATACTTGCAACAGTCATACGGTGTCTTTTTTCGAAAATAATGCCTGCAACGTAATTAATTATGGTAAAATAATAATATTTTTGCTCATTATTGATAAACCTTATGCTCTGATACAGAAATGGATTCTGTGTGGAAAAAAAATGTCAGATAATGTTGAATTACCTAAAGAATTACACAACCTGATAGATACTTATTATCCGCTCGTGTCTCTTTCGAACTATTTCTCAATCATACCAGTGACTAATATTCGTCATAAATGTATTTGTATTCCTGTTTTTGATATGTTTTGCATGTCGGAAATAAAAATCGATTACGAGCACGATTGATTGTTATTCAGTAGTCTTCGTAATTATTTGATATTTATGTCTTCACGGTAGATTAATTTACGGCTGTTTGTTCATTATAAGTATATTCCTTCTTGTTTCAGATAATAATAATGAGTAATAGAAATATATCTACCAGAAGCTGTACATTAAATCGTCGACCAGTGGAACATTCCGAAGTGTACCACGTGATTATTTTTCCATGTGATAATTCATTTTCAGTTGTTAAATCAAAGCAATGCTCACCAGCTGAGCAAGATGGTTTTGTTTTCGTACAATCAGGCCAAAAAAAATATATGGGATTTATTTTTGAGACTGGTAAAATGGATGTTGATCATCAAACTATGGCTAAGTTATTTTTTGACTTAGGAAATTTTGAGATGTGCAGTAAAGTCGCTGATCGACTTTGCCAAAAAAGGCATGAAGAGATAGAAAGCGATTACGAACGACAAAATGCAAATACTCGACCAAAAGAAGCTACTTCAAATACACCAGGTACGTCGCCTTTTATCTTACTAAAATTTTACTTTATATTTTATTAGAAAAAACGTACACTACATTAAAGGATGTGCCATTATCTATTGATATACCTGTTGCCGTTGTTCACCAAGATTCATCTCGTCAAATTGTTTCAAATTTCCGTGAGTATAAATAAAAAATTGTGTTTTACTTAAATTTTCGAATAATCATATTGACGCAGTACAGTTGAGAGAAATAACTTTTTAACCATTTTTTGGTGAGAAATGATTTTCGTACTCTTGAATATTTAAGATATGAACAATGCAATGACTCCGATTCGAGTAAACAATGATCATAGAACGACAACTAACAATAGTTCGTATTTTCTTTTAATAAAAATATTAATTTTTCTTCAATATTACAAGGATGGCAACGAATGCGTCATGAAAGTTGTTCAAACAATACTGTAATTTCAAACATAACTGATACAACAGGCAAAGTGTTTTGTTTTCAATAATGTTTTTTAAATACATTTATAAATGTTTAGCAACAACAACTAACAGTGCGACTCATATTATTTCGAATAATTTACCTTTATCGTCTCCAGTTAGAGAAACAAGTTTAACTACCACAAAAAAATCATCAACAACGGCGTCTTCATCAAATTTGAATGGTCGTAATAGATCTACAGTTGACTGGTCACCTTCTCCATCACATAACAAAAAGAAAAAAAGATCAGTGAAGAATCAAAAAGATAAGGTATCTTCATCAGATATTGAGTCAGATGACGAAGATTTAATACGAACAAAGGAAATAATTAAAACTCCCACATTTACTGGTCGACGAATTACTAATTCAATTACAACAGATTGTGTAACCAAAGTTCCAAGTGATGCAGAATCGTATTTCAGACAAATGGAAAAAAAATATTTTAGCCCATTATTAACTGCTTTAGAACGAATTGAGAAAATGATACAAACGTTATATAAAAATCAGTTGAAGATTCAAAAGACATTGAACAAGAAACAAGTATGATATCGGCAACATATTACTATAAGATAACATTTTGAATTAAATTATTATTTATTGGAACTATTCGTAGGTATCTATTGCATTAAATGAACCTGGTGCTGATGACAATGATGATATGAATTTTCCAAGTAGTTTGGTGAGCACAACGTTATACAATTTTTGTTTTTGCTTTCAGCAAGTTTTTTTTTATCAATAGATATTTAATTCTGCTGATGGTATGTCAAGTGTAGATCTTTTGAAAATCCCTGCAACTAGAGACAAAGCCAATCTTTATGTTACCAATCTCGTCGAAAAAATGTTTTCCATCGATGAACTAGTAGAACTAAAACCAGATCAAACGCATGAAGATTCTAGATATCAAATGATACGAGGTTAATATTTCAATTATTTTGTATAATTCAATTCTTCTTTTTCATTTCAGAGGCTGTTCGTTGTAAGTTCAAGCTCACAAATGAACAATTAGATCAATTGTTTAATGACTGGCTTCGGGAAGTTTTTCTTGCAAAAAGAAGAGTAGCAGTGAGAAAGCTTAGAATGGAGACGAACTAAGGATATTATTCTTTAAATGTTACCTGTCTTAGAACTATTTTTCGTGTATAAAAAGTTTTTTGTACTACAATATTTTCTTATTGTATTTATTGTGATTTGGTTAATGACGTTGAAGTCATCGTTTTTTGCTTTTTCTTGTAATGAGTATATATATAATATCATGAAATAAATTTAATGCTGCAAAAGCCAAGAGACCTTCTTTGTCTTAACTTTCTGGTAATATCATATATGAGTAAAAGAAAGCATATATGAACGAAAAAAAAATGCAGAAAATTTTACGCCACTTAACGCGTAATATTAATTCATATTGCCACTATATCGCTGTATAGCGGTCATAGCGAACTAGAAAAAGGGGTCAGACTACGATCGCTACAACGCCGTTGTAACGGCGCTATTTTACCGTTATCGACGACATGGGTTGCTTTTTGGTTCAATCATATTATTTTATAGATGTGACAAAATTGATGGACGTCTTGCTATTTCTTAAACAGTTTTTATTTTATTTCTCATGCTATCCACTTGAACTTTCCGCCAGGCTTCCCATTATTCCGCTCTCTCCTGTAACTGAATGAAAACATTTTCTGTTGAAAGTTAAGCGAAAGATGAAAAGGTGAATAAACTTTTAGAGCTATTTCAAGAACAACAAAACTTATCGTTGTCACCCAGGTTCACAAACAAGGGAATGGAAAAGTAGTTGTTTTTAAGTGCTGTAAATTATGCATTCTTCACCAAGTAGCTGAAAATTAGTTGTTAACGAATTGACGATCGGGAAAAGGTGTACTTTTATAACTGTCATGCGAACTGACTGTAATCGGATATTCATAGACTTCGTAGTGGCCCTGTTTTTTCCGATTATTGAGTTATTTTGTCGTAGAATTCCTACATATCTATGAAAACAAGGAGAATAAATGGCAATTAAGATTCTTTTATGAATGGTTTATTGGTGATTCAAAGAAGTACAAAAAAGATGAAGAATGAACTCAAAATAAAGAGAGGAACAAGAAATTCCTAGTAAAATGAATAAAGGCGCGTTGAAACCAAAATATTTCCGTTGAAATCAATCAGAAATGAATTTAATCATGGCTGATGGTACTGCACGTTTACAGTTTTCAATTTTTGAAGAAGTAGGAATGTATCAATACCAATTGAAGGCACAGAAAAATTGCCAATTTTCACAATGAAAATCTACCAATACGAACAGAAAAGATCCCCAGTATTGGTGAGTACTGGTAAAAAAACGGCAGTTTTCACGAAAACTCACCAATACTGAGGATGTTTTCTCTTGGTACTGGTATTTGATACACTCCTACCAGATAGAGCTAACGTCGCTGATTATAACTAACACAAAGTATTGTTTGGTATTGGTAGATTTTCATTGTGAAAATTGGCAATCTTTATGTGTCTCCAAATGGTATGGTTACGTCCCTAAGAAGAAGAGCAACCGTAATATTGAGAAAGCTCCTGTGTTGATATAACGTAGTAATGAGTGAAGCACGATTATCAATGAGCAACTATTGGCTATTACAGAGGACTTCATTGAAATTCAACATAAAAGAAAATCCTCATTTAATAAACAATAAAATATAAAGAATCAAAACATTACAGTTAATTGAAATACGGTATTATCAAGTACAGCGATGCTCCTATTTTCGATTTATGCATTTGTACATACTGTTTATGCAGCTTTTTAATCTATCTAATGAGAATAGCCACATAACAAACTTATACATATTGTTCACAAAAACATTTCAAATAGTTTTTTCCAACCTGTTTTCTTATGCTTCTAATTATTTTATATTATTTTCATAAACATAAAAACATTTTGATTTTTATGTTGTTATAATGTTCTTTTTTCGCGCATCAAATTTTCTCGTCTTAAACATCCCAGTACAAGTCAATCTGTTGTTTAAGTTTTTTCTTTATTAAAAGGATTGATTCCTCAAAATTTCAGTATTATTCTTGAAATTCTGTAAGCATTGCGTTTCACAATTCTATTCTATCTACACCTGTCACACCCAACTCTATACGAAGCTTTCGTGTTTGATGCAATTTGAATCGAAGAAAACAAAATGAAAGATCACCTTTTGTCGTTGAATCTAGCAGGCTATCCATTACAATCACAACCGCGAAAACTCTAACCCAAAATATGCTATTTTAGTTTCACTAAACCTGGTATCTCACGAGCGTCGAAACTGTAGATTGAAGGAACAATTTTCTCGGAAATCTGAAAGAGAAAATATATTAACAAACGCCGCAAGAATGATCATGAGAAGTTTCAGCTTGTGCCTGATCGATGGAAATTTTCAATCACAACACGGTACCAAAATTCTATTGTTTTCATATGTTTTGTTACCAGTCCACAGAAACGCTTCAAGGAGTTCCTTTGTTACGTTTCGAAAGTCCTTTACTGAAAAGTTTTGTCCAAATTTCAAAAGAAAAACATGTGCTACAAATCATGTACAAAATTGAAAGCCCGTTCAATTCGTAAAATGCTGACGTTTAGAGCAGAATCAATAAAACATTTATTCAACGAGTAGTCTGAGACTAATTTATTCTGTCGCAACTGTTACGATTGAGAAGAAACATTTCAAGATTGAAATGTCGATTTTAACCATTGGAATACGTTCTTCATCAATAATTATTTCTCCACATCGATATAGATTTGCATGATATCGGATTAGATCGATACTCGCACAGTCAGTACTCTCGCATAAAATAACTGAAATTAGCAAAACTACTGTGAAGAAATCAATAAAAATTGGAATTTTTGCCCGCTTGAAGCGCCAACAGCGGTTATAAAACTTTTATTGACGTTCAATCAAGAGCATCAAGCATAGACAAAAAAAATTTTTAAATTAAGAGCAACCAAAACCCACGTTCTCAATAAACCATTTAACGACGACCGACGATTGAACCGTGAAGGTTGTTGATGGTTTCGGAGAGTGATCCGAGGGCGTTAAGTCCATGACCAACAAGTTGTTCTTGGAGTTGTTGGAAGTGTGGTTTTGAGGCATCAATAATACCTGAACCGATAGCAGCAAGATTACCTAAAGCACCTTGGATAGCACCTTGAGCAACGCTGACAGCACCGCTGAGTTGTTCTGTGAGTGCTGCAACAGAATAAATTATGATTTTTGTCCGATATTCCTGTTTCTACTTACAAGACCAGAAGTCACCAAAAGCACGTGATCCACCAGAAAGTGAGCCGAGAACAGCTGATAAACCTTGGTTCAAAAGATGTTGACCGATTCCAGCGACTGATCCACTGATTTGATTCCAGAAATCTCCGAAGATGGCACCAATATCAAGAGCACGACTACCTAATAATGGTATATCATAGTTACTAATTTCGAAAGAATACTTTTTTAAATCTGTACATACCACTGAGTAATGATGGAAGTGAACCAACGAGTTGGGCAAGAAGACTGTTGACTAAAGTTGGAAGGCTCGATGTAAGTTGACTGAAGATTTGGTTGAAGTCAATGTCGAATCGACCGCCAATGCTGCCAATGAGTGTTGTGAGTTGACCGACACCGTTGCTGAGGAGTCCCATAAGTGTTTGTTGAAGGTTAGCGAGGACGCTTTGAATGATTCCTTGACCTTGTTGAGTAGCAAGGTTCAAAAGGGTAGATAAATCACTAGCCATAGAACCAGCAATACAGGTAAAGAAGAGGATAGCAAGAGCAGCCTTCATTGTTGATGATTTAGGAGCTTGATACGAAACGATTAGCAGATACAAATAATTGATGAATATTTTGCAAAAACCAAGATTCTTTTATAGTCGAATCTTGTGTAACTCCTACGACTATATTGAGAGCGCATCCATCTGTGTGTGTTCTACAGATATTTGCAAAGCCGATGAAGCAAAAGCTAATCAGAATGGTCCGAAAGTGAATAACAACAGCATATGTTTCGTTTTCTCTCAGTCAAACTGCATTTTAATCTTTATTGATGTTTTTTTCGTTTCAAGGCCGTTTGGCAGCGAAAAATATACTTTCATTTCAAAATTAGTTTTTGTTCAATAAATGGAAAATAAAAATAAAGCTAATCTATTGAACGGATTGTCACTGCATAATAAGTTATAATTCACTAGTTCAGGTTCTTGTTTTTCTTGCTTGTCAAGCATGATTCTTTTTCTTCTTACAAATCAGACTAGAGTCATTTCTTGAGTTAGCAGCAAGAATTTTACCTGGTTTTCAAGAATCTTGCTACCGTCTTGGACAAGAATCTGGAGGGAACGATGTGAAAAGCATCGACAAGTGAGCCGTGTTTATTCGTTTGCTTTGCTATATTTTTATTGAATTTGTTTTTTGAATTACATCATTTTAAAGTTGAAGTAATGAATCTTAGTTTCTTGCTGTAAGAAATTTTATTTTAAATCCATGGCTTTCTGTCTTCGATAACCTTCGAGTTAAATCATAGTGATCGTTTATTTTTCTGTGAAAAAATATTGATTATAGTATGAATACCTCATGGAATATGTTGAATTAGAAGTTAAATCAATTTGTTTTTACTTTTCAGAATCTGCGAAACATATTTTTCTATAAGAACATTTTTCGTTTCAGTATGACTGTCTCAACTTGAAATAATCAACTATCTGTAAGTGTACATGGTGCTTTGTCTCTTAGTGAACCATAAATAATAAATCTTCTCTCTGTTGCATTGAAAAGAAATTATTTACAATTGAATTAATCGATGACAAGAGAAAAAAGAAACATGTTTATTTCTTCTAGATTTTATTAACACAAAGAAATAAATATTTGCATGCATATCTTTATTTCAAGAGAAGATAAGTTTGTAATTCCCCAAAAGCAAAACCAAAAGATAAGACATAAACTAACAATAAATGAATAATAGATTTTTAAAGTCGATTATGATAATTTTAAATTATCGTTCAAAAATGTTTTCCTATTGGTTTAGCATCATTCGCATGACCTTCCGTATGTGATTTCGTTGTTATAACCGTTGTTGTTGTACTTTTTAAACAACGAGTTGCATCTTCAACGCCAAGCTAAGAAAAAGAAAGAATTATTTACAGTTTTCAGATAAATTTAAGTCTTTTACATGAGCAACTTTGTCGGCAATTTCTTCAATTTTTATATTTGCTTGTGCTTGAGCTTCTTTGAATATGTTCTAATGGGAAAAACATTGATATAGACGAAAGCAAAGGGAAGTAAATGATTCTTTACCATTTTTAATCGATTAGCCTCTTCGTTTAATGCATCAATACGTTTTCTAGCCGATTCAAGAATTATTTCTTGACGAAGATTTAATTCTTTTTCAAGTTTAACTAATGTTGCAGCTTTTTCTTCATCAAGTTGATTAAGAAATCTTTTCAAATTTACCAAACGGAAAAAGAAAATGTTTTATTTTTCAAAATTAAAATTTTATTCGTCACTTACAACATTAATTTTTCTTTATATTGCTCTTCGATTTCGTTTGATCGTTTTTGTGTATCCTCAAGTAATTCATGTTGATGAACTTTTGCTTCATGAACAATTCTTTCAATGCTAGATTGAACAGCTTCTGATATTTGATGATTACGACTACGTGAGTACTCATCGATCTGTGCATGTGTTGAGCCTGAAAGAAAACCACATAAGAAAAACATTAGGTTTTAATTAAATTTAATATTATTAATCTTCTTACTTAATTTAGACATCAAATCATTAATTTTATGATTCGCATGGTGTATCGATGCTTTCGACTGTGTTTCACTACTAACAGTCGATTTTACTTTCACATCATCGCAGACAATTGTATGAACACTAGCCTTTCTTTCGGCGTTTTCACCATGTCCAGTAAGCGCTTGGCCAACAGCATGAATTAACGACGACATTTATTTGTGATGACTACCGTGTTGAATGTAAGAAAATGAACGGATACGAGAGAATTGTTGTTTCTCTTCTTTTTCTCGTTTTTTCTTCTACAGAGAGAGGAGAATATGAACTCGAGGTCAAGCCGTACATACATGTGTATATACTATATATTCTTCTGTTAGAGTTTTGCTTGCCAAGAGGGCATGGCGCGCAATTAGATTAAACAGTGATGAATGCAGTCAGAAATATATTAATTAATCGAATTTGGCTACATTTTATAAAAATAGATTTACGCAAGAATGCGAATCTTGAATAGTTCCTTCTTCTTCTTCGATATGTTATACGGAAAAAAAACATTCTTATAAAAATTTAATGGTGATTCATTCAATGTAAAGGCAAAAGAAATTTCTAGAACGTTGTATTAATAATTATTTTGTTAATCTAGGCGCATAATTACGATATGTGATGAGAAAAAGAATGTGAATGTTGTGTGAAATCAAACATAATGATCATATAAATGATAGAAGAACATCCTGTGCGGAAGAAAACTTGTTTTGATCGACAAATAAGATAACAAGTTTCCTGCTCATCAACATTTCGTTCATTTTTAATACTATTATGTGTACGCAACTTATTTGTGTTTCAAAGATAAATTAAGTATGTTAATAAATATGATCGTTGAAATTCTTTTAGTTATATATATATATATATATATATATGTTGTGGTTAAAATTCAAATCCAGTAAAATTTAAAATTTGACTGAATTTGAATTTTGACCACAACATATACATATATATATATGACAAATTTCCGCCTACAGAAAATTAACTGGTGTATATGCATATTTGCGCACGCTTATGAAAAAGAACAGCAAATCCTAAAAAATTATACTTCTGTTTCTATCTCAATGACTTTTATACAGCTTGTTGAACTAGAAGAATGTGACGACGCTATAAATGAGTCTACTTTACCTATATGAAAACTGAACAGAATGAGTAGACGACGACGAGACGATAAGCCTGAATAGCGGATTAACAAACACTCAAATACAAATATTTAGATCATAATATGAAGACAACCAAAAAATATAAACGTTTAATACACGCCACAACTCTTTCTTCTTCATAGTAGGCCGATAGAACTAGAAGCAAAAAGTTTATAATAATTCTTTATTGAACATTGACATATTCTTTTGTCTTAAAAGTAGCACAATACATTATTGTCCGGTTAAGATAATGGGCCCATAATAATTCTATAGAATAGAGCAATTTATCATCGTATTTTTTATTCGTCAAGAAACTATTGATATAAAAAAGAACAACTTCAATTATCTGCCGAATTCACAATAATCTCTGCATAACTACGGATTCAGGCTAAAGCCTTTTTCTTTCGTCGGATCCGAATCTATTTTCTTGTTATCTCGTAGTTCCTTGCAGAAGAGAAAGTGAATAAAACAAAATCATTTGAATTTTAACTTTTCCTCTGAGAGTAGTTAAAATTCCGGCCTTTCAAATTTTTTTACGCAGAGTATTTCAGCTATTGCGAGAATATATTAAAAAATCGAAATATATTGTACTGTTGAAACCTAGCAAAATCGCTGTTGATAAAGAAATTTGAAAAAGAGTTTCATATAAAGAATTCGAGGAAATAATATTCTTTTCTAGCAAAACAAAAACAATCAACCGCAATGCATTTTTATTTTTTGAAAAATAAAATGAGAATATTTTCAGCTAGTGAATTATGAAACTCGATCACAACATGGCTCAATGATCTCGATGAAGACCGATTTATCAATCACCAATGTGTGATCTTGTTACAGTATGGATATTTTCAACATGTAATAGAATATGATCTAGTTAAATATATTGAATTCTAAGTCAATATTCGTCGATGAATTCGACATTCTATATGACCTACTTTTGTATGTCACTAATGTTTGATCGTTTTCTCAACAACATACTCTGATTAAACATACTGTATTTTATTATGTTGCAACTTTTAACATAGCCTATAATTTGAACACATAAAATCGAGAAACAATATTCAGTAGAATATTCATTTTTGAAGTAAAATGTAGCTGCTGTTTCTCAATCATGCGTTATAAGACTTGGCATATTTGCCTTAAACTTCAATATTTTATTTATAGAAAATAAATAAAAAATTTCGTTGCGCATGGGAGACATCTGTTGTAGTAAAGTATCGCATCCTTTGATATCCAGTCACATACAAATAATACCTTGGCAAACATAAATAACTATTCAAATATTCCCAATTTGTTTTTTCAGAAATTATTTTATTTAATATTCGCAAAAACTCACGTCGAAATTTCTTTAGATATATTTTATGAGTAATAATAATCGTAAACATAAATCTGAATCAACATCAGTGTATTTAGGCAATACACGTACACTATCAAATGAATATATAAATGAATATTGTTCAAAATTTGGTCTTATTCTTGATTGTTCACGTCGTTTATTAGCTCCGGAACAAGCTTCTCTAGTTGATTTTACATTTGTTCGTTTTTTGAATGCTCAATCAACTTTAAAATTCCTTTCAACATCTTCACATACCCTTAATAATGGAATAAATCTTGATGTGAGACCCTTTGACGATATTCTTCATACAGCTGTTCCTTTGCATGTTGATCGAAAAATTTGCATAAAAGATCTTCCAAGTTATATATCACTTAGTGACGCAAAAAAATATTTACGTACATTTGGACCAATAAAAAGTGTAAATTCAGATACAAATGATAATGAAGAAAATTTTCTCTATGTTGAATTTGAATCAGCTGCATCAAGAAACAAATTGTTAAAAGGAAAAATAAAACATCATCGTATACGGGATCATATTTTGAATATTTTGCCTTTATTAAGACCAACTGATGTTAATCTTCATCAAATGGAAGAACAAAAGTAATAGGGTTATTTTATTTTCGCTGAGTACTCTTATTATTATATTTTTTTTGTAGCATTTCCAATAAGTCAACTGCATTGGATGATCCAAGTACACTAATTTATTTAGAACTCGAATATAATTTAAAAATGCGTGAACAATTCAGTTTCATTGATAATGAAATATCAGAATTGATTAAACTAACAAGTCAGAATTATGAACAAATGCGAACAATGCTAAAATAAAGATGCTTTTTTTTTGTCTAAGAAATATTTGTATTTATTTCTTTTTCTTTTTCAGATAATAATAATATGTATCGTTCATCAACATCGACTACAATTTATGTTGGCAATATACAATCAATTACCGATGATCAATTACATGAATATTTTCAACGTTTTGGTAAAATCGAAGCCTGCTATCATAATTGTACACGTGCTGCTGATGAATGGCTAATTGATTATCGTTTCATAAGATTTTCATCGGACACAAATATGAACATTATTTTAACAAACAAAATAGATCATACAATTGGTCGAATACGTCTCGATATACATCCCTACGAAGCAGCTTTTCATGATGACACACGTTTAGTATTAGATAGAAAAATTTGTATTGCTCATACCGACATAAACCTTAATCGCAATCTTATTAAAAAAGCATTTACAAGATTTGGACGTATATTGAATTGCACATGTGTATCGTCTGGTAATGGACTTGAACATGTTTATATTGAATATGAATCGATTAATGCAATAAAACCTATAGTTACATCTAATCAACGTCATTCTGTTGGTCGAACAACGCTAGCCGTTAAAAAAGCGCTAAGACCTTCAGAGGTTGGAGTAAAACAAGAATTAATATCACACGATGAAAATATTTCGAGAGAACCAACCGTACCAAAACATTCTTATTCGGGTCAAAGATTAAATTCAAATGTTGAAACAGCACAATATTCATCGTTAATTGTTAATCATCATAATAGAGCTATTGAAAATGAACTGCGAACATCGAATTTGTAAAGTTAAAACTTTTAATTTTTCTTAGAGAAATTTCATATTTCGATTTAGATCATCGGAGTCACAACGGAGATTATCGGTGTCATCGAGTATGCAACAATCCGATGAGAATACTTCAGCTACAATCAATAATAATGCATCACAATTATGCAGGTAGTTTATTTGAAGTAAAACATGAACAAAACAAATTTTGACAATAGGTTTATTAGATAAGCTGTTTTTTAGGTTGACCGTAGAAAGGCCGAAAACAGAAAAGATAGAAAAAAGCGATGTCTCTACTAAATGAAGGTTCTAATAGTTTATTGTTCATTATTGTTAATCTGATTATTCCATTGGTATGACACTGTTAACCATTGATACTATTGATAAGTAATATCTTATGAAAGCTAGCTAAAATAGGCGTAAAATAGTATACAACGATTCAAATTCTATCATGATGACTACAGCTTGCGCATTTTTATCTGGTGAGAATCATCCGCCAACTCCAGTTTTTTCATTTATTCAGTCGTAAAAAGGAAAACCTTTCCTTATACCAGATCAATATATTTTCAAACTGAATAAAACAACAACAGCAACTAGTAAATATTGGATATGTGTATTTTTCTTTATAACTCTTATTTATCTATGATTTATGCTATGATGCTATTATGATTTCAAGAATAAAAACATCTTATTGCAAATTTTCGACATTTTTCCTTTCGATATTTTTCCTTTCGGTCTTTCTACGGTACACCTTTTTTTAGAATGCCATTTCGATAAGTTTGATTAAATCTTACGGTCCTTTTCTTGCCTTAATTTCATAGGTGCCCGATTTATAGAAAACCAATTACTATTGTTGAACTTCGTCATGAGTTTCGTTATATCGAAGCAAGGGCGAGAAATGAGCGTGGCTAATTTTCTCATCAAAATCGAGAAAGTTGGTGATATGTAGTTCAAGAAATATATTGCATTACAAATAGCTTTTGCTGCTATTTTTATTTAATTTTCTTTTTCAAGCTGAGATTCATCCGAAAATAGTTTACGAGTCAACTTTTTACATCAAAAGCTCTCCAAAAATTTCAGTCCTAACTCAGAAAGAATTCAGAAGTTTAAAATCTTTTCTCAGATTCTGTCGAATTTCATTGAAATCATCAATTATAAAAATATCACATTTCTATGAGAAGCCATTAGAATTCAAACCAACTCTACCAATTAAGACTGAAATATGCAAACATAGCTTTCTTCTACTTGGATCTGATTGTATGACTCATTTCCATTAAAATATTTTATGACGTAAGCAATCCTGTGTAGTTTCGGCGTTGCTTTCAAATTTGAAAAAGCAAAAATTTTGCAAAAGATATTTTTGGGATCGTGTTCCCTTAAGGAATTTTCCCCGTAAAACAGTATATTGTATTTCGATGATAAACAATAGAAGATATTATGCAGATTCATAATACTCACCGACTATATTCACCAGGCAGTTTAACGCTTCTAGGGAATCGATCTTTTCAATTAGCATAAAACTCATGAGAAAACTTCTTCTCACACGTGCCCCTCTAATATTCTCGCTGTCATTAACCTGAATTCCACTCCGTAAAGATACTGGTCTTATCATAAAATTTTCGTCGAGCATATAGTTTTTTTATTCAATTCTTCACTAGAAAACATCACACTCTATGACATAATTCTGATAGGAATCAGTAGTATTGATTACATCGCTCTATCAAAATTAGTAACAGTTCGACAACTATTCTTGTATCAGTAATACAATCAGCAGCTGATTCGATCGAGCAACGGTCGACATGTTTGATTGATTAGATAAAGTCAGTTGTGAGAGCCGCGCATAGCAATCTGCATATGTAACTCTTAGCAACTGACAGCTCAATGATACATGAAACGCAACACCCTCGTTGTAGTAAATCAATTTTTTTCCTTTTTTTGCTAAAACACTTCTTTCATTTCGTTTAGTCAACAACAATTAAAAGATTATGAAAATGAATATGATTTAATAATTCAACAAGATTCGGATGAAATAACCTATCAAATTGATAAATTTCTTGAAAATCAAAAACGCTGTTATAAAGAACTACGTAAATTTATTCTCAATGAAATTCGTTCTCAAACAAATTCATCATCGAGTGAAGACGATGAAATGAACTCCGATTTATCTTCGCCCAGAAACGAAAATCTAAAAAATTATCATAGAAAACATGTAAAATCTCATCATTAACTCCGTAATTTTTGTTTTGTAATTGTTTGATGAATATAGTCTCGTTGTTTGACATTATTTTTTTCTTTTTGTTTTACTTCAAAAAACAAAACCTGATCGAACACAATAATGAAAAAACAAACAAACGCAAACAGAAAAGAAATAACAAATCTTATATAATTACAACATTTTAACACGATGCAATAATTCATTGACGAATTCCTAGAAAACATAACAATAAGATAAGAATAAAATGATTGATTAAGATCGTTATATTTACCATTGTTATCGATCGAGACTTTTTGACATTTCGTAATTTTTCCTATAGAGAATATTTCGATAGTAATAATAATAATGAATGAAGGTAAAAAAAAGAAATTTTGCTTACAAGAAGAAACGTACGTCGTTGTGATTCACTATCAATATCTAACAGAGAATCAATTAAATCACCTGGACAATGATCATGATCTTCTTGTGGATTGTCATCCTATGAAAAAAACGAAGACTGTGTTTTGAATTTCATTGAGAAATGATTTTCTTTTACTTTAATGTCATAAAGTAATCGCAATTGATCATCGAGCCAAAATTCAACTTTTAATCGTTTACGTATCAATTGCATTTGTTGTTGAGGATATTTACTATCGATGTAAAAAAAAACATTAATTTACTGGAAAATATCATATTTAAATAAAATATTTACGCCGTAAGATATTTTTCGCGATCATTAAATTTCGGTTGAGCAGCGATTAAATCATTAAAACGAACAGAACCAGTCAATGATGCAGCTGGTTTCGTTGTAGTTGACGATGAAGTTGATAAAGTAAGTGGTTCTCGGATATTAGTTGGTACCGTCGTAGAAGAAGTTGGATTCGTATGATGAAATGGACGTTTTATGAAATTCATATTCAATGTTATTTGCTCGTTAATCTAAAAAAAGAAAAAATGACTTCATAAAAATGCGAGTAGGCTGAATGACCTCCAAGTTGAGGCGAGCTATGAGCAGGGTAAACACCAACGCACATATATTTGAACAGCAGAGTAAGCACGTATCTTGCTTGCTGAGCGTCGGTTCATCATAACCAAAAAATCATCAGTGGTAAAGGAAAAGAAAAAGGGTGGGAGGGAGAGAGATGGGGAGAAAAGTAGGCGGCGGATTGTATTGTATGTGCTCGAGTCAAATACATAGACATCAAGCGTACAATAAACGAGCGAGCGAGAGAGAGAGAGCGAAAAACAACGAGAAAAATTGTTATATATACTGTTCTTGTGTGTTTTCATTGTCGTGTGTAAAAATTCGTTGTACAATGTCTTTTCAATTTTGATTCATTTATCAGTCATTAGTAAGAATTAAACGTAGCTAGATAGAATGAGGACTTTTTCCCTGAGGTACAAATTATTTACTTTGTGTAAATATTTCGATGAAGAAGAAAAATGTTATTTTATACTAAAATCAGGGATATGGCCATGGCAGGAAGTGTGCACCTTTCTGCTTAAAAAAAAGAAGAGTATGCGCACCTTTTAAGTTTTATCGATCATTTTTTTCACGTCGTAATATCCTTGATTCAAAAAGATTTTTTCCTTCTGTTGTTTATGACATTGTCTAGAAATGACATGTTTGAGCTATGTGCATACTTGCTTAATACCGGCTGTTGATGTCAAAAAGTGTTTTTCAAAAAAAATGCATTGCTTTGGATTGAGATAATTTTCGTTAAAACTCACTACAAACGTGACGTTGTTCTATGACTTTCTATTTTTATGTGCTACAAATAAAAGCTATGCGCTTTTTTCTTAAATAAAGACACACGCACACATCTGTTGTCATCGGCTAAATTTCTTTTTCTATTCAAAATTTTACATATTAAGTCTATATACATTCAATTCTTTTATTCGAACTAATAATAATAATAATCACTATGTTTATACAGAAAAGAAGATATTTGGATTACATCATTTTTTCTTTGGTTGCAGTGATGTTATTATTGATGACGATGATGATGCGACTGTTGTTGAAGTTGCTGTCGTCGTTGTTGCCGTTACATTTGTTGTTGTTGGTGGTGCCAATGCATTATTCATCATATCATCTAGGATTTTATCTGAATTAGGTAAACATGGCCCACCAAGACATTGGTCAGTGAAAGTAACAAATGTCAAATAACCATCTTCTGATGATGCAATAAAAAGTCGGCCATCATGCGACCAACGACCATCAGTAAGAGATAATAAATGAATGCGACGTGCATATGCAAAGGGTTCTAATGACAAATGATCATAGAAGAACAGTGACGTCTTAGTTATCAATGCAAATATCATTCGATATGGTGCGACAGATGATGTTGAAGGAAATAGAGAAGGACACACTGATATAGCTATGACTTCTTGATCGTTCACAATAGGTATTATTGATAAAGGCCGATCAAATTTAGGACCAGATGTTGCAAATACGTAAGCACAATTGACATCGATTAATTTAGCAGGTACTGAAAAAAAAGTAGTTAACAGTAAAGGATATATTTAAATTGAATCAATATTATACTTGCTGTCGTTCCAAATTTTTCTTCATTAACGCCACCATCTTGCACAATTTGAATGTCTTGTTCGTCGAATTCATTCTGTTGATTATTCAATGTATCTTTTTCTTCAATATTTTCCTCATTGTTGTAGGCGTTTAAAAATGCTTTATCTAAACATCCAGCTGAAACAATCAATTGACTACCATCAGGCAAATAAGAGCAACGTCGAAAAAATGTTAATGACGTTTCATCAATGAACATCAATGCACCATTTTCTTGTTTTAAATTTGCTGGTTTTATCTTACGAATATTATATACACATCGAGATATTGAACCACTTTCAGGTTTCATTGAATAGATACGTAATGAACGATCCGTACTCATTGCTGCGATATGTTTACGCCATGGATGAATAGCAACACCTTGCACGAAACCTTTTGGATCATCAATAAGTGAGATTTTTTCACGTTTAGCTACATTCCACTAGAAATGTAAATAAACATAGTAGACTGCGACAGATTATAGCGATCAAATGAAAACAAAAACAAAGAACAGAAAAGAAACTATTGCGTATTGTGGGGGTGACCACATACATTTTTGATTAAAAAATTTTTGTTGAGGATTATCAAAAGTAAAGCTCAACCACGAGCAGGTCCGAAAAATTTGTATCCGACTTTTCACCTACTCATAGATCAATTGTACGAAAGTTGGCGGATTTAGTGGAGAGGCTGTAATTCAGTCGATATCTTTGTACTGTAATGTTCGAAGATAACTGCTTGAAAAAAACTTGAAATTCTCTTTCGACTCTCATTGTGTAGATTTAATCCAAGGCTGACTTAAGAATAAGCTGTTCATTTTTAGGCAAATAAAAAGAATGACAAGATTAATACATTGTAAAATTGTTCATGTTTTCATAACAATTAGATTTAATTCAATAAGCAAACATTGCAATTTCCAAGTAGCAAATTGCGGATTCGCGCTATTTTAGACTCAAACACAAGCCAGATCTGAAAGGAAAACATTCTGAACTTACAGTTCTCCTGTTTCTCATATGTTTTTCAATTCGATAAGCAACGAATAATTGAGAAAGTTCATCATACAACTTACGACAATAACTTTTTTATCCACTGAACCACTAACAAGTAATTGATCATCTCTTGACCATGCTAAATCCAATACAGGTTCTAAATGACATTTATATGGTAAACTTTTAAGCCAACGTTCTTTTGATTCTGGTATATCTTTATCCCAGCCGAGCATGTTATCATTTTCACTGCTGGTTGTTGTTGCTGCTGTTGTTCCTGTTTGATTTGGTTTCGACAATACAGTTACATTTGAATCCGCTGTTATTGTTGGTGCTTTTGTCCATATGAAAATATTACTATCATCGCTACCACTCGCTAGATGTGTTCCTTTAGAATTCCATCGAACACAATTTACTGATTCTAAATGAGCGCCTGTAAGCGATGATACAAATGTAATTGCTGGTTGTTGAGCTGTTGGCCATTCAATATCCCAAAGATAGATTGAACCTTAAAGAGAACAAAACAATTGAAATAACTTGATGAGTGCTCGAAAATTTTTGATTCCCACCTCTCATGCCAGCTGTAACTAAACGTTTCGAGTCTAGTGGATTTATTGCGCATGAATAAACAGGGTCGCAACCATGCCATGATATATTTGGTGTACAAACATTCATGTTAGATTATGTTTTTCAAGATCTTCTGTGTATATCAGTTGGTCTACCAGAATGATACTAAACAAACGACAGACAAGAGTCATTGGCGCTTTCAAACAATAGAATAGAAAAATGTCAATGAATTAAAAATAAAGAAAATTAAAAGAAAAAACAGATTTTTCTATTTGCTGTTAAGATTTATTTTCTATTAAATTTTTGAATGAAAAATATTTTATTCTTATATATTGAGATATTAATTAGTCGAGTCTTTAGCTAAATGAACAACCAATGAAAATCATTGAATGAATCATCACTGTATCACAAAATTCATATCGTACTAAAGTTACATATATCATGCAATATTTTCGCCGATTTTCATTAATTCGATCAACATTTCGTTTTATATCCTCAGTAACCGTAGATGTAAATTCATCAACGACTCAACATGAATTGAATGAAATCAATAAATTAATGAGAACCTACAACACTACGGAAACACCTATACGTACAGTTGCTTTGTTCGAATGGATGTTAAATATAATAAATATCAAACCGGATTTTAATTGTTATTTAAATATAATCCGTGCCTGTGGTGAATTAGATAATATAAATGTTTGTAAAAAAATTCAGCAATTTATTGAAAACGACCGAACATTACAAATCAACGAGTATCATCAACTGCAAATCAAACTTATTTACATGTATGCGAAAATAAGGAATATCGAACAAGCAGAAAAAATATTTCAAAGAGCTAAATCCGCAAAAGGCATTCCGATAGATATTAGTCTGTTTGGTACTATGTTCAAAGGTGAGGAAAAGGTGAGTTGAGAGGAAAAAAGCTAAAATATTAATATTCTCTTGAATTGTCTTTCTAGGTTACAATATGAATGGGCAACCAAGCAAAACAGTTGAATTATACGAAAATGAAATATTAAATAACAAAACAATCGAACTCGATGCTATAGCGGCAACATGTGTACTAACTGCATGTAGTGATTGTCAACGATTGGACATTGGAGAATACATACACGATGAAGTTCTAAGACTCGATCTACTCAATCCACCAAATCTTCGATTAGCAACTTCTGTATGTTGAAAAGAAAAAGAAAAGAAAGCGTTACAAGCATTGGTTTGAGAGGAGATTTCTCATTGTTAATCTAGCAGATAGTCTAGGTGTTGTAAATTTGCAGGTAGACAAAGGTTATTGAGTCACATGTTAAAATGATAGGCAGTTGTCCATTTTCAGAAACAACGTTAAAGAGTATTTTTCTTTCATAGAATATCCAAGTCAGTCGTATAATTGTTTTCGAGGATGAAAATATTGATCAATACTTTTAATTTCCAAATGAACTTCGAAAATAAAAAGATATAATTTGTTAGCACAGATTTTGCTTTTGTTTTTTCAAAGATCATGAATATGTATTGCAATTGTGGTTCGATCGATCGTGCTCAAGAAATATTTAATCAATCGCTTCCCATAGTTGATCGTATCGCTTATTCATCATTAATGAAAACATATCTGTCAATAAATCAGCCTGTTCAAGTTCTTCGTCTATTCGAACAATCGAAATCATCATCGATAAGATCTGATCCAGTTCTTTATTTAAATGTTATTAATGCATCTAATCAATTAGGTCTTATGCATCAAGCAGAATATATTCATCGTTTGATTCCATCGCATATGATCGAAAATAATCTTCTATTAATAAGAGGTTTAATTGATATGCATTCAAATTGCTTACATTTAACTGAAGCACATCGATTATTTAATTTGCTTGAACAAAAAGATAATAATTCATTGGCAAGTTTATTGCATGGCTATGCAATAAATGGGCATGGACAACAAGCATTGAATTTATTTGAAAAAGTTAAATCTGAATTAATATTTAATGAACAAGTTTATAAAGAGATTCTGCGTGCTTGTGCATTTACCGGTGATCTAGTCGATGAAGCACGGGGAATATACCAAACAATACCAGATACCTATAAAACATCACAAGTTGCTGCTGCAATGGTAAATAATCGTAGGGATAAGAAATTATGAATAGAATAGGAAATCTTTAGAGAAAAGTGAGAGTGAATAGAGAGAATAATGTAAGTATAGAATAATTTTGTTTCTATACGATTAATAAATCATAGATATTCCATTGACTCTTTATCTCCCATTGCAGTTCTATAAAAAGCAGATATTATAAATGAAGTGCGAATTTTTCTAACTTTTAAATAGCTCTTGATGGTACGAGTTTCTCTTAGTTACTTCAGAAATCATGTAACAGAGGTGGGTGATTGAATAGGCACAATCCGCGTAAATCCTGCAGTATTGAAAACAGGCACGAATGAGTACATAACAGCTAAATTGTCAAATAATCAGTAAAATTCAGGTTATAAATTTCGATTCACAATAATTATACAGAAGCCTTCGATCTCTTACACCTGTGCTTTTTTTTTTTAAATTTTAACTGAGTGATGTCTGTTCGACATGAAATCATATTTTCATTTCTTTGGTAAAATTTATAAATAATTAAATTTAAATATAGGTTTCAATACTTGCTCGTGCTTCACTTTTTGACCAAGTAGAATCGTTTATTCATCAAAATAAGCCAAGATTACAGAAAGCCTATCATCTTTGGTCTGCAGTTTTCATGGTATGTTATCACGCGAAAAATGTTGAATATGCAAAATCAATCTATGATGAAATTATTGACGATCCTCTTCTATCATTACTTTTTGCGGACATGACAAATTCCTTGCCATCGAATGAAATTATTAACTATTTTCGGCAGGAAAAGCCAGGAATATGTTGGACAGAAATTAAACATGATGATAAATCTAATTATATTATACATGAATTTCAAGACAATCCACTTTCGGAGAATTCTGAATTGAATATTGTGATAAATGAATTAAAATCAGTTGATGTGCATTGGAAAACATTTGAAAATGATCTTAAAGAATTATTCTGTGGACATACAGCTACTCGTTTGGCTATAGTAAAAAATCTGATATCAACTCCACCGAACACAACTATTCGATTGGCAAAAACAAAATCAACATGTCATCTGTGTCATGAAGGAATAAAGCAGCTGAGTCTACTTAAAAAACGTGATATTATTTTGAGAGATAATATTCGTGTGCATCATTTTCACAATGGAAAATGTTCATGTCGTGATCAATTTTAAATTTTGATTTAAAAAAATAAAAGTTGTTTCGTAGGAAATTCGATGATTGATGTTTCTCTTTATTATAAATATGTTCGGCAAAGATAATTCAAAAATACGAAACATTGAAAATATAAATCACTGAACTACACTATTTGAAAAGGAGAGTTTTCTTTATAGATGTTTTGACTAATGAAATCATTTAATTTCACTTCACTGTTCTTGAAAAGAACATTGGGCTCGTTGAAACGAATCTATGCACCATGTCGTTTTCAACATGCTCAAAATCCACCACCGTTGGTTGTCGAACGAGCTCTTCGTTCGATTAAAATGGACACATTCGAGACGCCGTTAGTTCGAAATTTTTGTATCATTGCTCACGTTGACCATGGTAGAAACTTTTCTCTTGTTGTTTATTTCTAAAATGATTTTGTTTTGTTCTGTTAGGCAAATCAACACTTGCTGATCGATTGTTAGAATTAACAGGTGCGATTCCGAAATCTAAAGAAAATCGTCAAGTATTAGATAAACTCGACGTTGAAAGAGAACGTGGTATCACTGTCAAAGCAGCAGCAGTATCGATGTTTTATCCATATAAAAATCAGACATATTTACTGAATCTAATTGATACACCTGGACATGTTGATTTTTCAACTGAAGTTGCTCGATCACTATCTGCATGTCAATCGGCTATTCTTCTCGTTGATGCTGCACAAGGCATTCAAGCGCAAACAGTTGCTAATTTTTTACTTGCATGCGATTCATTTATGGAAGTTATTGCTATTATCAATAAAATTGATTTAAAAGAAGCAAAAGTCGAGCGCACCATAGCTCAAATTGAATCCGAATTTGGACTTCAAGCTAAAAATATTATTCAAATATCTGCTAAAAATGGTACAAATTGTGGAAAACTATTAGAGCAAATCGTTGAACAACTACCACCACCAAATTATTCTCGGACAGGTCTACTTCGATTATTTGTTTTTGATTCCGTTTTTTCGTCAAGTATCAATTCAACAATTATCAACGTTGCTGTTACAGATGGTATCGTCCGAGCCGGAGATAAAATTGCAAGTAAACTATCAGGAAAGACTTATACAGTACTGGAAACAGGTATATTCAACACATTTTATTCAACATAGAACTAAGACTTTTGCCTAGGCATATTTATGTATCCGGATCGAGTTAAAACCGATGCATTATATGCTGGTCATGTTGGATATATTATTTGTGATACAAAACATATTCAGGATACAATTGTTGGCGATACATTTTATCATCAAGGTGGGTGAGTGTTTGGTTACAATAAATATAAATATTCTCGAAAAAAACAACAATTTCAGGTGTTGATGTTGAACCTTTGCAAACATTTAAAGTGCCAAAAGCAATGGTGGTATGTTATCGAGAAAGAAAGAAGTTTGTCGAATTTTTTTCCTCTCATTTTGTTTTAGTTTGCTGGTTTTTTCCCATTCGATGAAGTACAATATAATACTTTTGAACAATCCATTGAACGTTTAGCATTGAATGATACAGGCGTGAGAATAGTCGCAACATCAAATCCAGGTCGCCTTTTTTATTTTATTTTAGTGTTATTGAAAATAGATTATTTTCCTTTCTTTTAGCATTTGGAAAAGGCATGAGAATAGGATTTTTAGTAAGAGAATTATATTGATTTTTGATAGGCGAACATTTTTTTTTATTTCCACATTTCTAGGGTTTACTGCATATGGAAATATTTAATCAACGTTTAGAATCAGAATTTTCACAACAAGTTATAACAACATTTCCTGGTGTTGCCTATCAATGTCGTATTGTTGGAAAAGATAATATTAAAGAGTATGGCACAGAATTATTGACTATATCAGATCCACTTAAATGGCCAGATACAAATATTATACGTGAAACATTAGAACCTATCGTCGATGGTCAGATCCTTACTCCGACACAATGCGCACCAATTATTAAATTAATCTGTGACGAACGGCGAGGCGTATTAAAAGAAGAATATTGTATAGACGAAAAACGAACGTTATTAAAATATAAATTACCTTTAGCCGAAATAGTTTACGATTTTTTCGATCAACTTAAACAAGTAACATCCGGCTATGGTACATTCGATTATGAAGATAGTGGTTATGAAAAGTCGAACATAGTTAAACTACGTTTTTGCATAAATAATGAAGAAATCGATGAATTATCAGTACTTTGCCATGCTAAACGTGCGCAAACTATTGGCAAAGAAGTTACGGTTAAACTTAAAGAAAATATTGATCGACAACAATATGCAATTAAAATTGAAGCTAAAGTACATGCAACCGTACTTGCAAGACAAAATATTCCACCGTATAAAAAAGATGTGGGAGCAAAATTATATGGCGGTGATAAAACACGTTTACTGAAATTATTAAAACGACAAGAAGAAGGCAAAGAGCGAATGAGATCTATTGCTAATATTCAAGTACCACGGGACGCTATTATTGCAGTATTGAAAAGAAAATTGTAGTTTGATTAGGAAATTTTGAATAAATAGATAATATAAATACATGATTCTGATATTTCAAGATTATCGGCTTCTAGAAAATTTCATTATTTCGAATTCAGGCTGACAGTTTGTTGATTTACGCATGGCTGACGAGTAAAATTTTATCTCTTTTATGTATCTGTATGAAGAGTAAATAAATCCGAATGGTGAGCCTGATGCAATACATAAATATATCAAAACATTCAAATATCGCATCTCGTTAATAATTTCATAAATCAGATTCGATAGAAACTTGAAATATGAACATTATTTGTATTCATAAAAAGTATTAGATAGTGTTCAGCAATAGTAAATTCCCCTTTAAGAATTGTCTTAAACGTTTGTAACTGGAACTTTTCAAATGATATCAGTTACATACATATGGTCACTTTCCGAAGACTGCTCTTTTTGGAAATTCTCCATTTGACGGCACGTAACAAGTAGAAAAATCTTGATTCCGTAGGTCGACCATTTGCTTCTTTAGAAACGTTTCAAGGTAAAATCGATGATTTTTTTCTCTCATTTTGTAAGATGTTCTTGAGTCAAAACAAAAAATTGATTACAGTACAGATAGCGAGAAAAAAAACGACTTGTCTCCGCCCTTATCTACTTGTATTGATAACCTCAGGACGACATCCTTGTACTTTACTCTTCGGCATTATGAGATAATATTTATTAACCTTTATTGCCAGTTTAATGGAAAACTTATATTCGAGAATCACGATGTCCAAAGAAAATTTTCTTTTCAGTTCAAAGTATACAAGGTTAGGTCAAATCGATTCTGTCTATATTGAATATTAATCAACCGTGTAGCTATCACTTAACGTATACTTTCAAAACAAGGTTATCGTCGTAGGACATAAATGCAATCTGGTTTTTTTTTATTCAAGAATTTTTATTATACAGAAGAGTAAGATGTTGTAAGAAAATACTTGAACTTTAAAAATCGTTTCGACAATAACTCACACATCACTTGAAAAATATTTTTCTTTTCGTTTTTTTAAATGAATAAACTATTGACATAATTTGCTAGAAAATAATCACAATGACCGGTTAAGACCGAAATAAAGTAATATCAATGAATAGATCTCAATATATGAAGACCTGAAAAGTGAAGAAAACACTATGGCAAGTCAGAAGCAATTTTCAAAGACGTTACCGTAAGCTTGCGGAGGAATAGGAGGATTGTTTTTTGCACGAGTGTAATGATCAGGATCAAGTAGTTCGCCCGAAGCCTTTTTTTTGGAAATAATATTTTCATACTAAAATTCTTAACAGAAAATAACTTACCTGATATGCTAAACAACAAGAAAAAAACCAACAACAGATTATTTTCATACAGAAAAAAAGAACAATAGAAATCAAATTTACCGATTTGCACGTCATTAGAAAACATTTTTCGCGTAAATATAGCAATAAGTTGTTGTTTTCGAGCTGGAATCGTATCAATCATTTGAAATGCATGTCGAGAGGAAAGAACATTTTTTGAACCTTGAAAATTACTACTGAGCCGAACGGTTCGATTGGATTTATTTTCACAGACAAGTCCAAAATTTCTAAATCAAAACAAATTGTTTGTCGAAAATTTTAAAAGACGAGAAAATTAAATTTATCTATGTACCCATTATCATCAAATGTTAAAATCGACACACCACCACCCATATCCTGTCGATTATTAGCACGAACAGCGACTGCATGAAATGCATCCGCCACTAGTTCATAGGACGCTGGTTGATCGTGTACGACAAAGGGTTGACTTCCATGTACAACTAAATTGAAAGCTGGATAAACCATATAATTAACTACGGACATTGAACCAGCTAATATAAGATAACGACCAGGAGGCACAACTGTTGATAATGTTATATAATAATCAACATCATGTTTATAGGCTCTACAATAGCCGTTTGAACTAAGTAAAATTAAAAATAGATCAACATCAGGATCTTTCAAACGATTATAATAATTTCCATCACCAGCATTAAATACTTCGATTTCAAGTTCAGCTCCATACGGACATTCAAGGCCATAGGCCGATGTTATTGTAGAAGAAAAATCACTGAATTGACCTCGTTTACGAGCCTTAAAAAACAATTGAATTTAACTAGACAATCTACAAAAGAAAACAAAAAGACTGACTTCATGCCAGTTTGCATTAACTTTACAAATTGTAACACTACTAAAGAATGAAGGCATTTGTTCCCAAGCTATTTCAACAAAATCAAAGCATTTTTCTCTTGAAATTTAACTAAAGCAAAACTCTAATACATACGCATCCAAAAAACACCATCATTAACTGACGATGTAGTAAGTTTATTTCTGAGAGCTTTCGGCCATTTAGTCCAATTCTCATGTACTGCACCTTTCCATTCTTTTTCACCCCATGGATTGCGTAAGCGAACAAGCCTTTGAGAATTAACTTGGCGCGCGTCAAGAATACTATAAGCATGATCCGATTCCAAACCTAATCGGCAAAGAAAAAAAAAATAAAACTTTTGTTTCTTAAAAAACAAAACTATAAAAAACTTAATTTACCCATCCGATTAAAGATTTGTTCACTAAATCGTTTGTTCGAACATGGACATGTCATAAGATATCCTGAATGAACACAATCGTAATTAAATAGCTCTTAATAATCCTAAGGTATACTATATATTAGTTTACCTTTTACTCGTGACTGAAGAATACTCAACCATATTTGATTGAGATCGGGTTTTTTTTCTGGATCTGATGATCGTAAAAAAAGTACCTTTAAAAGAGGAAAAAATCTAAAATCTATTCTTCTCGTAATCTATTCACTTACTTCGCATGGTTCACCTGTTAATGTCTGTAAGCCTTCATCACATCTTCCTAAAACAAATAACTTACAATAAAATATAATAGAGCGCATAATTTTCATACCAGATTTAAGTGCCATATAGCTACCATGCATTTTTGCTAACGCCTTCTCAATTAATGGTGCAAAGAGTTGTTTTTTTTTACTTCTCGAGAATACAAGCGAATTCGATGTTGATACAGGTAGCAAATCATCAATAGTGACAACTTGCCAAATACCTTGATTACATAAACGAACTCGATAAAGTCCTAAAAGATAGGAATTGAAAATTCTTTTTCTTTTCTTTCACAAAACTCATTCGTTTATTTCTTTACCAACAGGATTATGTCGTTTAGTAATCATTACTTTATAAAGAATTTGTGGAACTTCGGCAATTAATGATAATGCAGCGATAAGCCAACAATTACCAAGACGTCCTTGAATAATATCTTTTGGGTGTGGTTGATTGAATACCGCTATTGGATAATGTTTGTCTTCAGTAGGCCATCGAATACGTTCTGGGCGTAGCCTTAAAATAAAAGTTCTTTTAAACATGTAAGAAAACGTAAAGAACACCATGGTAATTTACCATCCTGCTACACGTCCTTGATATTTTACACCGAGAAACGAAGTTCCTTCATCACCTCGTGCAATACTTTCGGGTAGAGGTAAAAATTCTGGATCGGAAAATTTTCTTTCAACTGGTGCTATACTACCAACAGATTGAGAAGATTCGGCGACATGATCATGAACAGAGTGGATTTCGCCTGATTACCGAAATAAAATACATTAGAAAATCTTTACCGTTCGGATGATTATCTTACGAGAAAGTAAACTGCGTATACCGGCAACACGGGGTGGTGAAAAATTTGGTTTATTAACAATATCGAGGCTCAGTGAGAGTTTCCGAGAACGAGCTCGATGAATATTATCATCGGGTTGTTGTTGTTGTTGTTGTTGTTGTTCCTGTCGTTTCCTCCGACGCTCCATATTAAGGATTGATATTAGTTTAAAAAAGAAACGAAATTATCTGTCGGTGACCTCAATATATTGAGACTTGTCTGGTGATGGTGGTCGCGTCTTTCGTTTTCGTCATGTTTGTCCCTTTGATTAACACCATGATCATGATGGCCAAGACGAGCGACAAGAACGACGATACAAAAAAAAAATACGATACGAAAAAAAAATCAAGAGAAAAAGGAGAAGCAAATGAGCATGACAAGAAAAACGTTTGAGAGTATAAAAAAAAAAAGAAGAAACACGACCGTGAAGGCTCTCGAAATACCTGTACATGCACATATTCGTCCCTATTATCATTCGTTCTAACATCATCATCATTGCTTTCAATGATTTTCGCTTTTTTTCCCTCGATTTGCCAGTTTATCTCTACCCTCGAAAACGGTATTTTTGACTGTTACATACAATTGAGACTAGGTGTTATTCTTTTGTATGTGAATCATTTATCCGATTAATAAACTAGATAGATTTAAAATTGCCTTATTCTGTTTTTTTATGATGAGAGATAGAGAACGAAATAACGATGCTTTGAAGCGGAACCATTGTCGATTTTGTTACAGCATATATATACATATATATATGTATATATATGTATATATGTATGTATGTATGTATGTATATATGAGCCTGGCCTTCTTTTACTGAAGTGTAGTTATCAAATCGATTTTTTCATGTTAAAATACCATTATACTGATAGCTTGACAGAAAGAAAAAAAAAACTTTTTCTCGATATATATATATATTAAAATTTGAAGTAAACTATGCATTTTATACAAGAAAACAAATTGATAGTTTTTAAATAGATTTTAATCTCTTTTTTTATTGTTAATCATATTTAAGTGTAAAATTGATTGATTGGTTAATAATCGAAATAAAATTCAAAACTTATTTACTAATTTTATTTGGTCATCTCATCTAAAGCGTTTATAATAAGAATCATCTTTCAAGATCATCCTAGAAAAACATATATAAAGCATCGATGGTATCCATACAAAAAACGTTTTTCAGCACAGCCCCGTTGGGGCTAGTATGCGGAACTCGCATATTATGGATCGCTTGCATACTGATCCTATAGAGGGTTGTTGCTAACGTCTGTTATACGAAAAGACAGATTTTGAAGTCTAATTATAAATTGAACCTTAACTATAATCATATCTAATTAGCAAATATAGATTTTATTACAGATACGAGTAGTGGTGAACATAGGCAATCGACCCTTACTAAAATTTTGCCTCGTTAGTGAACGTAGATTTAAAATTTTTCATGTTCTATGTCTTTTATGGGGAGGTGAGCCGTAAAAACCTTGCGTTTAAACTTATACTGACGACATTTTATTTGGAAATATATGCGAGTTCCACGAAATATGTCGATAAACACTTCCATGAAGGCCACTAACTTTGATTTCGACCATGAAATATTTCGGCACAAATTTTTGACGAATGCACTAGTTGAAATAATTGATAGTAACATTAGACAATGATTTTTAATTCTATCTAGTGCTATACGTACAAATAACCTGATCATTTGTTTGATAGAAAAATACACTGTTGAGCTAAAATTATATTTAAAAGTAATGGGGAAAACAAAAATATGAGAAAATTGATCTAGCAGTGTTTCATATCAAATTTTCCTGCAGCAATCATATTCATATGTCGACGGGGCACTACTACACAACCGTAATGTAACATTGATGACCGATTGTTTTTGACAACAAATATATTTAATGATTCCATTATTAGTTCTCTCTCCCTCTCTGGTCAGTGACCAGTAGTGTATTATATTCTATTTTTATTCGTTTAATTTGTTTTTTTTCTATATGAATTGATCTCTGTGTTTCATAGGCATTGCAACAGAATGATGAGTATTGTTTGTTGTTGAGAATGAACAAATCAAATAGCAGCACACTGTTTTCCAGGAATTTTTCTCTCTGACCTAAATATAACAAACAAGTCAATACGTAGAACATTTTGTACATAACTTTCTATGTGGAATAACTGAATAACCGATTATATATGTATATGTTTTGGAATACATCATTTAACTCGTATTATATCATTGTAGTGAACAAAAATTGCAATTACTTCAGTAATAGTGAAAACGATCTTGATGCGACTCCATTATTTCCAGTAATTATCTCTGGAATATCATTGACATCCTAGTGTAATTCACAAGAATGCTCATATAATATTCGTTCAATAATCCAAACTTTTCTGGCTCGCTTTTAATTTGTCTTGTTCAATGGATATATTCACTGTATATTTTCTTATTTGGCAAGTTACATTTCTTATTGCTGAATGGGAATTACAAAGTCTTCCATTGATCTCATTCACATCTTATCGACGATGGCTGCGTATGGTGCCAGCATTTATGGCGTATTTTTTTCTGTCGGATTTTACCAACGGAGTTGACCTTTCTCCCGATATAGATATGTAAGTAAAAATTGAACTTTTCTTTTTCTTTTAAAAATTAGTCAGACAGGTAGACATATTTTTCTATGTTAATAAAACTAGTGTTCAGATAAAATATTTTGAATTATGAAAAAAGATTCATTTTCATATAATATCAAATAGATTTTAAAAGAATCTTAGACTAAACATATATCTACTAATCTCTTTCGAATATTTTCCTCTTTTGATACTAAAAATCGACATAGAGACTATTTCAAAATTGATCCATCAAAAAAACAATTTTATATTGTTGATTGAATTTTGATTCAAATTCTAGTTTAGCCTTTTCAGAAAACTAGTAACAGAAAATGAAAGATTTTAAGATCCAACAAGAATGGTCTAAATAAATTGAAAAAATTTATTCAAAAACCGGAAGCTTCGCCGAATGTTATAACCTTCACCATCCCTGAGATCATATTCACACTCTCTCGCTCTCTCTTTCGGTTTTATGATTATATAAATGTTGGAGAGTTTTCTTAAAAAGAAGGGTGGAATAACCAACTGGTCAGAAATCAGGTCTTACACCGAGATATAGGAACTAAGTAAGGAATTGAATTTTTTAACCATAGCAAATACTTAATAAAATCTATTTGAAGACAAAACAAGCAGATTCAGATGAACCATTAATGAGAAATGTCTATGCACAAAATATCGAAATTTAACCTTTCTCGTGCATCTGTTCATCGGAACAGTGCACTCGTTTAAATTCATTTTATACGATAATAGAGAAAATTTCACCGAAATCCGTAACATCGATTGAGTACAATCGGTCGCCCCTATTGTACAACCACTTCTAAACGATGAACAATTCTAATAAGAAACCAAAAATTTATAATAGATAAGTACAGTTAATATAAACATTGATATCGTCACGTAAATATGACGATTAATCTAACTATTTTCTGCATTGAACTGTGAATAGATCTAGAATCTTAACAATATAATATAAAAGTATATTATAGAATTTATATTTAAAAATAAGTTTTTAGGTTTTGAATTCTAAATAATTGAATCTTTTGTGCTTTTCTCATCTATTGCTTAAGTTCAAGTCAGGATATAAAAAATGTTCTGATTCTGTAGAAGACTATTTTTGAATAAATATTTGTAGTGACACACGATACAGCGATGATAAAAATAAAAATGAACAATATTTGAATTGGGATTAATCCTTTGTCTTTCTCCTTGAATAGAATCTATTGTTTGCATACAAAGTGTCACAATGAAAGTTCCAGAGTAATTACTAGATGAACTTTCTACTGGTGGCATAGCATCATCTATAATTGGCTTTTGTTATACTTGGAACTTTGATGACAATGAAACAGATCAAACACAAAATAATCGTGCAAGTCTTGGTACTAGTGATTTTCTCATTCTCAATCTAATGTTGTTATTAATATTACCGCCTGTATCATCTATGGCAACCAAAGTATATGTAGCTATCGGTCATATCATTGCTATTCAAATTGACCAAAAAGGAACGTCTCGATTTGGCTGTTCTTTTAACCAATATTTATTGTCTGCACTTCCTTTACCGGTATTTTTTTCTTCATTGTATGCTATTCTACTCAATGCTTTTGTACAGTACTAAGCAAAACAAACTATTTCAATAAATAAGATAACCAGTTGTGTCCAAGGACTGAGAAATAGGAATTCCTAATGTGTCGAGGAATTGTCAGTGCCGCTGTGATAATTCCTAGAGGAAATGGGAATCAACTATAGGTTCCCTCCCAGTTCCACCATTCACGAAAGTTACGATATTGCTGCTTTAAAAATAATTTTTGCATGAAATCATTGATTCACACAATTTTTCAAGTGAAAATGGGTGTGGGTGTAAAAGGATACTTTCAACAAAGTTTAGCAAAAAAAGTACAGAAAATTTATCCTTGTTGACGGAAAAAATTAAAAATTTTCAATTATTGGGGGGTTACACTCCCCCCCCCCCCGGTTTCCGCGACTCCTGTGTATAGTCAGCCATGGAATGGGCTGATAACCTACCGAAAACTTTATTGTTTGATATGATATATAGAATATGAATATCGGACCTTTTTTGTCTTGAATATCAATATTTTCGATTCAAATACGAAAAGATAATTTTGATTACCAGAACTTTTTAGCGTTCATTTGAACAACTCATATTCTTTAATATAGAAATGAAAGAAACTATATTTTTTATGTTGATTTTTATCGATTAACGATCTACAGCAGAGATTCCTCCAGGCCACTTTCTTTCGGTCTATTGTGCTGGTGCACGTAGAATATCTTACGTTAGGTCAGAATTCGTGTATATTCTAATAAGATTCCCTCTGCATCAGACCAACTAAAACTAAGATAGATCTCGACAAGCTCTATCGAATGAACACCTTTTCAAATCGATTCGAGTGTGGTATTTCACGGGAAAAAGCTAATTAGTGTGGATTCTGCCGATTTATTCAGTAAAGTCCGTTCCGCTTCGCCAATTGGTTAGACCAAATTCGACCAACTTTATTCTAGATAGAGTCTATATTGAGCTCTATCGAGTGGACACCTTTTCTGAAATTTTCTGGATAAACAAATTTTAACCATTACATTAAAACCAAACTTTGAAGATTCTGCTCTCTATTTGATATTTGCGTCAACATAGCAAAGAAATGATTCAAGTTTTCCCCAGTGGATAGATCTAATCTGATTGACAGCGCGTTATTGCATAGAATAATTTCGCTTCCTACAAATAAATCGGCGATATACTAGCCGAGAGAAAAACAGGAACATTTCTACGCCTCTCAAGACTTTTCATGTTTTTAAAAAAAAATTTTGTTTCTCAACGTATTCTCAGCGGATAGATATGATACGATATTCACAACAATAGAAATGTGTCACACAATGGAAGAAGATTATTGGTACACAGGAGAATTATAATTATTTTCTCATCTTCTTGTTTGAAATAGAAGATTTTGAAACAAGAGAGCATTACAGAATAAACACCTGATTTCCATCTCCATCTTCAATATGAAACTATATGGGGGAGGTTCGACATCTTTCATTCTTTCATTCTTACATTATGATTGGCTATTATCAAGTTTCCCTGTGTTTATTAATGATTCATTGTTTGAAATGTTCTCGTAGCCATTCTTTCTTCTTCGCGTCCACCTGATAGTCGTATCTAAGTCAAATATGAGTTTCAGCGACCGATCGTTGGCATCGTCATCCGGAATCAGTGTGCAAGGGGCTGGAGGATCATCCGCAACATCCTTCGGAGGAGTAAATCCATCGGATGAACAAGTCGAGCCATCGTCGACATTCGGCATTTTTTCAATTGATTATAAAAAGTAATTTTATTCTTTTAAGTTTTTCTTTTTTAATGATTTCTATTCAAGACATGAAGATATCAAACAAATGCTCGATGGCAATAAAGAGAATTTAAAATTAGAGGCTATGCGTCGAATCATTGGTGTAAGAAAAATAACAACAACCGAATTCTTTTAGTTTTTCTTTATTTAATTATTTAGATAATTGCAAAAGGTAAAGATGCTGCTGATCTATTTCCAGCTGTAGTGAAAAATGTCGTTTCCAAAAATATGGAAATTAAAAAATTAGTATATGTCTATTTAATGCGTTATGCTGAAGAACAACAAGATCTTGCTCTACTTTCCATAGCAACATTTCAACGAGGATTAAAAGTAAATATTTAATACAAAAACAAAAACATTCAATTGTTTTAATCTTATTACAATAGGACCCAAATCAGTTGATTCGAGCCAGTGCTTTACGTGTTCTATCCAGTATACGTGTACCAACCATTGTATCTATCATGATGTTAGCTATTCGCGAGGCTGCTAACGATATGTCACCTTATGTTCGTAAAACTGCTGCTAATGCAATAGCTAAACTTCATGCGTAAGTCGTTGAATTATTTTACCGATTGATTTTATTTTATTTTTTGTTTGTTTTTAGTTTAGATCCAGAACTGAAAGATGAACTGGTTATGATTATAGGGAAATTATTGGCTGATAAAACGATTGTAAGTAAAAAAAATAGAAAAGAGATTTTAAATCGAAAGCATCCTTGTTTTGTCATGCACATTCAGTTAGTTACTGGCAGTGCAGTGCAAGCATTTGAACAAGTATGTCCGGAACGTATTGATTTAATACATCAAAATTATCGACGTTTATGTAATCTAATTGTTGACGTTGATGAATGGGGGCAAGTCACTGTTTTGAGTATGTTAACAAGATATGCTCGAACACAATTCGTTGATCCTAATAAGGTATCGAAGTTTTTAATTGTAGAATTAAAAATATTTACAATATTTATTTGTAGACCTATGAAGATGACAAGGCAGATTTTTATGGTGATAATAAAATGAAAGAAGAAAAAGACGAGGACGATGATGATTCATCAGAAAAACGAACGTACGTTATGGATAGTGATCATCGATTATTGTTACGAGTCACAAAACCATTATTACAAAGTAGAAATTCAGCTGTATGTATTATCTCTATTGGAAAGAAAATGTTTCTGCTCAATTGTATTGCATAAGAGTAACAGAAAAAACTGTGTGAATTTAGTGAAAACTTTTGAGTAAAGCAGAGATGGGCAACTCCGGAGTTAACTCTCCTAGCAACAAAGCACGTAGCGTGCAACTCCGTAGCAACGGTTGGAGTTAGGGGTTGTCGAAGTATCACTCTTGCATATACAGTTCTAAAACTCTATTTTTTTTCTCGGATCTCTTATTTAACTCCGGCGGAGTTGATCGAAAAAAGCCGGAGTTGCGCATCTCTGGAGTAAAGTATACATTTAATAGCGAGATGTTGATCCTTACAGATAATACTTGAAGAAAATAGTCGATAGGAAGACTACCATGGAACACTAGACTTCAATAGAATGATGCAGATATTCTCTTTCTTGTTTCTGTTACTCATGAAATTATCGCAATAGGAATAGGAATAAATATTAACTTTATCTAACAGTTTTAGTTAATAACTCGAGTCCTACTGGTAGGAGAACTATGAAATCGAACGACGTTGGATACATTCTAAAATTTATCGTCAAATAAACTGGGTATTTATATATATATAGGAACTATTGATCACCTAGCTTGATGAGTCAAGCTGGTATTTTTAGTGATACTAACTCACTAAGCCATTAATTAAAAAAAAAGAGTTAACCTATTATCTATAATTACAGTAAACAAAAAATAATAAACAGAACTAGCTTTAGAAATCGATACTTATCAAATCATCTAAGAGCGTCATTTTTTTCTCGTAGGTTGTTATGGCTGTTGCTCAACTTTATTATTCTGTTGCACCTCGAAGTGAAATACAAATTGTTGCAAAATCACTGATTCGTTTACTTCGTCATCATCGGTAGAATTGAATATTTTTATATTAAAATTAAGTGAACCATTCTGTTTTCTGCTCTAGTGAGATTCAAACAATTGTCTTAAAATCAATAGTATCAATGGCGAACAAACATAAACAAATATTCGAACCATATTTGAAATCATTTTATGTCCATTCGAATGATAGTAGTTACGTTAAATGTTATAAACTTGAAATTCTTACTACATTAGCTAATGCTTCAAATATTGCGACTATTCTACGAGAATTTCAAGTAGAAACAAATAGATTTTTCTTTTTCTTTTCAACTTTTTATGCCTTTGTAGACTTATGTCGTCAGTCCGGATAAAGAGTTCGGTGCACAAACAATTCAAGCTATTGGCCGATGTGCAAGTACTATACCAGAAGTAACTGAAGCCTGTTTAAATGGACTTGTCACATTAATGTCCAAGAAAGATGAAACTATTGTGGCAGAAAGTGTTGTGATTATTAAAAAGCTACTTCAAATTAATGTAAATATATATATATATATATATTTCTATTTGCTTATCAAGTCATTTTTTTCTCTGTCGGTTAGCCATCGCAATACAGTGATATTATTAAACATATTGTTCGTATGGTTGATAAAGTCACTGTTCCAGCAGCACGTGCATCTATTCTTTGGCTTATTGGAGAATATTCCGATCGTATTAGTAAATTAGCACCAGACGTTTTGAGAAAAATGGCTAAATCATTTCCAGATGAAGTTCGTCATAAGAAATTAAAGATCTCTCGTAGCTAGAAGAATTTTATTTCTAGGAAACAATCGTTAAACATCAAATACTTAATCTAGCTGCGAAACTCTTTGTCACCAATAATAAACAAACACATCTACTTGTTCAATATGTATTTAACTTGGCTAAATACGACACAAATTATGATACACGGGATAAGGCACGATTAATTCGGTAAGATAATAATTCGAAGTGTCGAATAAAAAACCATCAATGGTTTTGTTTCCTTTCATAGAGCTTTATTACTTCAAACTGAAAATTGTCCACAATTGAGTAAACATGCGAAAAAGATTCTATTGGCACCTAAACCAGCACCTACACTAGAATCGATTATAAGAGGTACTTTCAAATTGTGTTGTAGAAATAATTTGTGTCCTAAACAAAACAATTGTTGGTGGATAGTAGAAGCAGCTACACAATTATTGTTTCGTATTTTATTTATTTCAGAGATTGTTATTCTTTCTTTCTTAGGTCATGACCAGTATACATTAGGTACATTATCATATGTTATCGGCCAAAAAGCAACAGGCTACCATGATTTGCCTGATTTTCCACTTGTACCAGCCGATCCAAATGTTCGCAATGTTGAAATTATTCAACAAGAAACCCCACAACATGATCATTCAAGCAAATCAAGTGCAACATCTAGAACCAAGAAGAAGAGTAGTACAAGTAAAAGATTTTATTCAGATGATGAGGCAGAAGATGATGAAGCCGCAGAAGAAGAAGAAGAAGACGAGGAGGAGGAGGAGGATGAAGAAGATGGCTCCACTGAAGATCCAGATAATGATGAAGAAGAGGCAAAACCAAAAAAGGTTGCGAAGAAATCGCATGATTATGAACAATTAGATGCTCGACCATCCGATAGTGGTCAAAATCCACCTGAAGATGATGGAAGTAGTGGAAACGAGGAAGAGTCTGAAGAAGAAACAGATGAATCCGAAGAAGAAGAATCAAGCGATGAAGATGAAGTATGAAAATTAACCTCTATTATTTTCATAAAATTTACATTCATATTTTTAGTCTATTCCACAACATATATCCAATGTTGGGAAATCTCCATCAACTATCGCTGTTAGTGATTATAAAATTCCAGCAGCAGATAAATCTCTTCTAGATCTCGATTGTAGGTTGACTGATACTCTTCAAAGCAAAATATTTATTTTTCCTTTAGTGGAATCAATCCTTGGATCGGCATCAACATCAGTTCAACAGCCAACAACTTACACATTCGATGATTTAAATAGCTTACAATCTTTATCTGTAAAATGCAAAAAGAAATTTTTGTTTTTAATTTGCAATTAAATCTTCTGCATAGGGATCATCGTCAACATTAACTTACATTCGACAATACGATTGTTTAAATCGTATGCTAGGTCAAGGTTTACAAATTCAATATCGTTTTCCACGTACACCGTATCGACGTTCATCAAATATGGTTCATGTTGAATTAATATTTACAAATACAACAACAACCAATGACATTCATTCGATTAAATGTATCAAATCGGTTCGTTAAATTTTCTATTAAAACAACAACACAACCAAATGTGTATCTAAATTTTAGAAAGCCGGCGTCAATATCGATGGTTTCAATGAAATTGATGTATTACCAAGTGGTGCATCGATTGTTTCATCTATTGGTATTGATTTTAACGATAAAACACAGCCGGCTTCATTCGATGTATCGTTTGATAGAAGACAGCTATCAACACCACTATCAATATCATGTCATGTTGGAGAACTTATTGAACAGAAATTTTTAAATGAACAACAATTCAATCAAAATTTAGGTATTAAAAAAAATGCTTTTTTTTTCGTTTTGTAATTCCAATCAAATAATTTTAGTTAACCTTCGTGGTATGAATGAAATAAACGATAGTATTAATCTTAGTGAGACACAAATGGGAAAGTTAAATTTTACATCTATTCAAACAAAAGTACTACAATGTGCGAATGTTTCGTCGGTACCATCAGGTTCTGGTACTTCAACGACATATAGGTAAGAACAAAGCGAATCTAATGGCACAGTCTATTTATGAAGTCGTCAGATATCTAATCGCTTTTCAGTTAAAACGATCTCGGTTCGATGACTTTCTAGACAGAGAAGTCTACAATCACTCGACTAGGAAATGTTCGCTTTGTAAACATTCAGATTGAACGAAGTCGTACTATATTACATATACTCAGAAAAGCCTGAAGAAAAAAAGAATGAAACCAAACCGATAAATATGCGGTATATTCCTACATTTGATTTTTCATTGTTGAAATATTGAATTTCCTTCATACTAACAGGTTTTAAATGAACAAAGGTCATCTTTTAGTATTTTCTATATAAATAGAATTTACTGTCTATCAGAAATTCAATATCTCAAGCGAGAAAAACTTCTTCAGATCTGATTCAAAGAATGAAAAAAAGTTAGAAGCCTATATTCAATTTTCTCTATGAGCTGGTGCACTCTAGAACTTCTACTTCGCAAAGCGATTTGACGCCTAGCATCTATCCGTATATTAGAGACACGAGAAAGAATTGGACCTTAATATCCATAGGCCAATGTCTGATAAATGTCTCTTAAATAAATGCAAAGCTCGTTCACACTTTCCTTTTCGATGTTAAAGTTTTGGTCCGCAAAAGGTCTTAGCAGCGAGTACATATATTGATCTACTATTTTTTTTTCTTTATAGATTTTCCGGTCAAACAATATCAAGTAAAGCATTAGTGCTCATTTCCGTGCAATTAAACATTCCTGAATTAACAGTGAACTTAACAATAAATTCCGATCGCATTGTACTGGCAACAATGTTATTAAAAGAAATTAAACAAACATTTTCAACGGTGGCTTAAATTATATATTTATTTTTGTTTTTGTGTTGTTTTAGTAATCTATTTCAATTTGATTATTATGATTGTTGTCGTGCAATAATTTGAATATGTAATTTATTTTAGATTTTCTACTTGTTTTATTTCGTATTTGAGAATGTCGGATAAATTAAAAGATTTAAAAATCAAAACTGGTGTCGCCAAGCGGTAAGAGAAACAACAACAGAAAAAGCGTTTACCAAGAAAATATTTTCGATTAAATTTTTAGAACATGGAAAGAGCATTTATCGTACAAAAAAGAATTAGAAAATGAAAAAAAGCGAGTTGCAAAAATGACCATTGAAGGTCGCGATGAATATGACGTTAGAAAAGCGGTATAGTTTAAAAGAGCATTAAATATTTTTAATTGAAATTGTTTTGTAGAATGAAGTATTGAAAGAAACCGAATCCATGATTTCGCATACAAAAAGCAGTTTTCTCAAAGCATGGAAAGAATTTCAAGATGTTTATGTAGCTATTTATTTTGAATTTTTTTCCTACAACACAAAACAAAACGTACTTTTGTTTTCAGAATGCAGCAACTAATGATGAAACCTTAAAACAATCAAAAGAATATGAAGAAGGACAAAAAGTTTACGAAGATCTCGCTAAGGCCATCGAAGAAGAACGAGCTGCGCAAGCATAAATCTGATATAATCATTCCAATTTGTTTTTCTTATAAAGACAGTTAAACTGATCTAGCTCTTTTTTTCTGCCTGTGTGTATGACGCTTCACATGCTTCTGTTACTTCGGCATCACTCGATAATCTTATTAAAAAAAATATTCACCCTTATCAAATTTAGATGAAAAAATTCAGTAAGTCTTTTGATTGTTCCAACGGACAGTTCTCTTATTCGATAAGTTATACGAAATAATACAATAGTCTAGAGTACTCGCACCTTTTGATTCAAAACTTTCCACCAGTAGAAGCTTTTTAATTGCTCTTTTCTTACAATATAAACATAAAGGATTGCATGCTACCACTAAGGATTTCAATCGGTTTTCCTTCGATTTATATCAAGGAATAAATCTAGCCGGAAAAAAAGAAAGAAACTCCTATAGTATGCTAATCTAATTGGGCTATCTATTCGCGTAAGCCTTCATATTGAAATTCGAAAAATTAAGTTCGCACAAACCTAACTGGCAAATATTTCGAATGCAGTGAAAAAAACAGCTGAGATTTCGCGATATTTTATGATTGTTTTTGTTCGAGTTAACCTTCAGCAATAAGTATTATGGTGTGAATCTCGCCATTTCTATGTAAATCAAATTTGTGAAGTAACATTTCTGAAATTGTTTATCGAGAATAGACTTAAAAATTTGATGCAAAAAAGCCCGTAAAGGAAACTATTATTGCGAAAGGAATTTTTGTTTTTTGTGCCTTTTGGGAAACAATAGACTAGCATTGTTTGAAAAGCTCTGTAGGTTGCTTGAAAAAAAGAAATGATTTTGTCTGAAATTTTTTCCAAAATGCTTCATTTGCTCCATCAATCGATATATAATCACATGGACAAATCTCTATTTTATTAGCGATTAGATGACTATAAGGTTTTTTAGTTACGAAGTGCTAAAATATAATTAGTATTAGATTTCATTCGATGTAAAACAATGAATTTTAGAAGCAATTGAATTCTTTCAAGTCATTAAACTGATACTATCTTATAGAAAATCGAAAACCAAATACAGATTACAGAAGTTTTCAGTGTTCAAAACTATTAACAGTGCCCAACGACAAGTCTCCGTCAGTAATACTATCGTATGATTCTTGTTAAAACTTAAAGCAACTGTGAAAGACACTTCGCAGGTTCTATTCAATGTAATTAAGATGTCGAATACAGCAATCAAGTATGAATATGACTGTTAGAAAGGAAATCATGGCACACAAAACAAAGAATATTTTTGGCATCACATATTAAGGATCAACCCACTTTGAAGTTCATCAGGCCGAGCATTTCTCTAGCCGCTCGATAACGAGTCTTCTCGTTCATATTATTTTCCATTTTGTATGCTTAATTAGCCACGAACGAAACCAAATCGATGGGGTTGAGTATTAACTAACTATAGTCATGGATTTATGTATGTGACTAACAAAGCATTAAAAAGATAATGGGCCTTTTCACTAAATTAATTTCATTAGATTTTCATGGTCACAATATCTGTAATAGGAAAAATTCTTATCATTATTTATAGTTTTCGTATAGAAAAAAAATGTAGTTATAAGTTTTTTTTAGAACTCAATTAGAGCCACACTACTACTCATGAATAATAATCTAAGAATTTTTTAATTATAAATCACAGGTAGAATCTATTTATACAAATAAATAAGAAAAACGTCGGAAATTACACTATGCAACTGTGACAGTTATTATCACAGGAAAAACTTCGATGGCCTTCGAGCTTCTATCTTGTGTAAATTTCTACGATGGATTATGCAAGATATTGAAACAAAAGTCAATTAAATTCCTATGTTAAAATTAGATATTTGACCGAGTGAATGGTAAAAATCAGAATTTATTGTTTTGTGTGAGATTATACATGATGCGAAAGAGAGAAATATTCATCTTTACACTAATTTTAACCTATAAAAGTAAGTGGTTGATTGGATTCTGAATAGAAATGAGTGTTGTAATAAAAAGAAAATCTTTTGATATTAATCAAAAATGAAATGACGTACATTATTTAATCATTTCTTGCAGTCTAATTATTAATCGTGCAAATAGCATTTGGTCATGGCGGCCTGGCACATTTTTTCTCTGTTGGAAAGTACTCATCTATTTGTAAGCTAAAAGCTGAAGTTTTATCTGCCAGTGATTAATCTAAAAGCATAATTCAAGAAGTTTCTGTATCTAATCTTTACATTATTGAACATCGCCAATAGAATTTGAATAACTTTCTACTACTCATCAGTTCAAGTTTTGCAATTACCTCTAAAAATGAACTTTCCACTGAAACTCTTTGATGAGCGCTATATTGAAATAGTTCTTTTTTTCCTATTAAACTGTAATTGATAATTACATGCATGTATTTATAGCTTCGAAAAAATATGGAAAATTAAATGATGGAAATAATTGAGGAACTCATTAACAATGCAAAATACTTGAAGATTGTTCTGTTAAAATAGAATAAATAATTGAGATACATAGGAGAAGAATACGGAGGAAAAAATGTCAAGATGACAGCTTTCGGATGATGAATAGATGAATAGAATTATTTCATGTATATAATTATAATTATCTGATTACATAAATATTATATTCTGATGAACGAGCAAAAGAACAAAAAGAAAACTTTCATGGAGAAATCTTTTCATCTATCATATATGAACTTTTCCGATTAGTTTTCTTCTTTGTTACGGTCTTCTAATCCTACTTGAGTCAATAAAATTCTGCTTTTGCTTTTTTAATATATCTCTCTTTAATTTTTCTTTTTTTAACAGTTAGAAAAGATATAAACACAGGAGAAAGAAAAAATTTTTTTTGAAATAAGCAAATAGGCAACAAGTGTGCATAGAAAAGACAAGGATTCATTCTCTATACCACAACACGAATGAAAAGAAAAAACAAAAGAAAAATGAAACATCGAGATACTCTAATATAGTTCATCACCGCTTGGCGTCGCCAAAGATGATGAACCGTTGCTATTCGTATTATTAGTATTATTGAGCAACGAATGTGTTATTGTATTTGTTGATGATGGTGTCGACGGGTGTATATGGTGATTATTTAACAGTGTTAAGTGTCCTGTATGTGATGAAGGATGATATTGATGGTGCATTTGTGTCGGTGGTGTTGCGAATGTTTGTTGTTGAGCTTGAGCAGCAGCAGCTGCTGCAGCACGTGATGCAGCGGCATTGGCTGCTTTTGCACCACGTTTACTAGTATTAGTGCCACGTTTCGATGCTGGACTATTACTAGAATTTGTTGTTGATTTAAGTGGATTATCTTTTTCGCAAAATAATTGTCCGTTAAAAAATACATAACGATCACCTTTAACTAAACGTGCATGACATTTAATACAAGTAAAACAATGAAGATGATAGACATAATTTGGACTAACACGCATAACTTGTTCATTTGGCCCAATAACTTGACTACATAATGAACATGGACGACTACCGTATCTTCTACAGGAGAGAGTAAAAAAAGCAGAAATATATTATTAAGCATTAATACAAATAAATAAATAAATAAATAAATACATAATTTTCTTTTCTCGTTCAAGTATAGATAGTTCAATGATGAATATTTAATTGATACGATTTCCTTTAATTGAAAAAGCTCGTTTCGTACTTTCTTTTTAACTAGGAACTCTTACAAGGTTTCTCTTGTGTTGATCTAAGGAGGAGCACTTTGAATTTCTATTCATTTTAAACAAAAGAAGAAACCCTTTATTGATTGTTGACTTATTGAACATACACTGAACCTCTGAAACTTTTGTTTTTTTTTCTTTCTTTCTTCCTTCTTCTTCTTTTTCTAACAACATAAGATTACGAAAGCATTGCTGTTTTTCTTTGCTTTGCCTTACTTAATATAATCAGACTTGCAAAGTAGTGCATTATCTTTGGTATAAAATGTTGACGATATATCGGCTAAAACTGCATCACAACATTGACAACGTAAACATTGCATATGCCAATAATTTCCACGACATAAACGATCTTGTGTATATAATAAATAACGTTCATGAATCGGTTGTGTACAATTTGAACAAGTGTATGCACTACCATTGGTTGAACACTGTTGTTGAGAATCATAACGAGGAGCTATGGGTACCATTTTTGACTGTTGCTGCTGTTGTTGTTGTTGTTGTTGGTCAAAGACAACCGGTTGTGGTTCAAGTTTAGGCTGCATTAATACAATTGAGCCACTACCACCACCACTACTACTGTCTAGAAAGAAAAATATGAATGAAGATAGGGTAATCAATATTCATGTACCTCCTCCTATTACTACATCTCGATTTCAATTTATTTTCCAATTACGAGACGATGATCGATGGCGATTGTGCATGTGTAAGCGAGAAATGAGCGAATATATATTCTCTTTTTCTACTTGACACATGCAGACAAGGGAAAATGAGAAAGAGAGGAGCTCAATAAATGTGATCAGAAGAAAAGGAAAAAATAAATCATTATCAGAGTAGTGATGGTTACACAAGATGAACAAACGAAGTAACAACACAACCATCGATAATATCAACCAGTAAAAAGAACAGAAGATTCTATCGACTAATTGTCTGGACAATTACTCTAATTAAACTTGCTTTCGTTCGCCTGCACTAGAGCAGGTGTGAATAGAAAAGAAAAAAGAAAAATAACAAGAAACAAATCACGAATGCATATAAAGATATATTTAGTTAACGAGTTGCAAATAAGGATCGACATGAATATTATTTTTTCCAATTAGCAAAAAGCTTTTTATCGATTAAAAACTGATGGATGTAGAAGGAACAAAATAAAATAATGAATCCAATATATTTCGATTTCTAACATCTAACCTATAAATAACGTAAAATATTCTAGACTACTTCATTCGTCGATAGACAGATCATATTCTTTTTCTTTTTTCAGTAATGAAGTTTGTCCCGCTGGAATAGAATATATTGAATGATGAAAAAGAGAAAAAAATTAATATTTATCTGTTAAT